ACACACACACATATATACAGTATATATATATATATAGTTGGATAATGTGTTAATTATAAGCGCTATTACAAGTACTATATAAGGTAATATTATATTATTCTAATATTCTATTATATTTATTTTATTGTCATATATAATAGTTATCGATATATATTAATTATAAAACACTATTATAACAAGGTAATGTTTATTGTATTCTAATATACTTATATTTTATTGTCATGGATCTGCATTTTCTATCATATATTTCTATAAAAAATAAATATGTGATATTTATTATTATATAATTAGCATCAAACAAACAATATAGTTCTTATTCTCAGTGATTAAAAGAATAAACTAAAAAATATGACAAATGATTGCACAACCATCAATTAGGTGGCGATATGCAGTATGTAAATGGCCTTTGAACAGAAGAAGAAGATAGAAGCAGCATGGCGCGCTTTTTCTTAGCGTCTGTTTCTAGTGACTCATTGATTTGTGGCTCTGTTGAGAATGTCTTGTGTGTTAACCAGGAACATACTCTGGGTTGAATGAACTTACTTCCAGACGCGGTTTTGAAACCAGCATACCTCGAGTAAGCAAGATTTGGGTTAATCAACCGAGAGTTCAGGGTTTAGCAGATGGTAAGTTAAGCTTGCTTTCTGGAATACACCCCTGGAGAAGCATAGGTAATAGGGACAAAAATGATAGGTATTAGACTTACTCTAGTCCTGACTGGACTAAATGAGTTGAACTTCTTTAGATTGGCAATACACAGCCATTACTGCACACGTCTGCAATGCATCACTGAAAAATACTCACTCCCAACCTTGTTTGGAACCAAAACTCCTCTGCTCTCAGCTTAATCAATTTGGTTGTCTCTTCGCTGGACCCAGCAGGTAGATACAGTATATTTAGCTAGCATAGCTACTATTATATATTCATCTACAAACTGAACTTTGCTTGCAGTACCTCTTAACCCTCTTAAAGCATATTTCTATCACTGATGAAAAATATTAAGTATTACATTAAAATAAAATAAAACTGAATACTAACATTTTTACATGCACAAAGCAGCTTGAGAACTCAAAACTCCTCTGCTCTCAGCTTAATCAATTTGGTTGTCTCTTCGCTGGACCCAGCAGGTAGATACAGTATATTTAGCTAGCATAGCTACTATTATATATTCATCTACAAACTGAACTTTGCTTACAGTACCTCTTAACCCTCTTAAAGCATATTTCTATCACTGATGAAAAATATTAAGTATTACATTAAAATAAAATCAAACTGAATACTAACATTTTTACATGCACAAAGCATCTTGAGAACTCATAACAAGATCACATGATCACACTTCCTTGATAATGTAGAAGATATTACAGAAATGCAGACACAGATAACCATTCATCAGTCATCAGTCTTGCTCCTGTTCACTGTGCGGTCACAGCATACAGCTGTCCTTTAATTGTAGAATTACTGCTATAAAACAAAATACAGTCAAAGTATGGTAACTAGTAGTCAAGGATGTACGGCTAATTTGATTTGATATACAATCACACACAGTGACACTATCTTTGAAGAACGGAAGTGTGAAAAACCTTTATCTATTATGATTTATTCATTAGTACACAAAAAGGCAGTGTGAAGAAGTGGCCATTGAAACGTACATCAGCAGTCCCTGTCAGCAAACGTATTTCAACGTTTTACTAATGACACCACGTATCACATTTCAGTAAATGAGAGCGTTTGCAGTGAGAAACATGATCCCTCATGACTCTGGCTGGCCAACTTGTCTCTGTTCCACTGTATTTTACGGCATAATGCTCCAGTAATCACATTTGACCAATTGGACATTAGCTCGGTTTATGAGAAGTGAATATCGACTGCAGCCTTACAAGCAAACTTTGGTAAATGTATACTGCACAGTCATTCTGCCTTTTCTAGGCCCATAATACAATTTAGTCTCCATTTGCACATAAAACTGATTCTGTAAAGCACGCTTTTCTGTAAAGACCTTACACGGTACCAGAAATGTAAATACTTAAAATACAGATATATCCACATAGTAGACATAGAAAGGCATTAGCCGATTTCATTGAAGTTTCATTGAGATATTTTTGAGGTTGTATCAGCCATTCTACACTAAATTACAGTGACCATGTTACATATTACTATAATAACTTGCAAAAGCAACAACAACTAGATAAGGTGGTTGCCTGTTTGTTTACCGCACTTGTTTAGTCTTTGATCGTATTGTCTGAAGATACTATATGGCATTTTCACCTGCTTTCTCATCCTCAACACACATGATTTGAGGAATCATTCATGTGCCTAGCACAAATAATTATGGGCCAGAGTTTATTAATTGTTTGAAAAACAAACAAACAAAAACCTAGGCAGATGTACGAGTAATAATAAAAGTAGCAAACAGCACAGATACTGACCTGTAATTAGAAGAAGCTCCAGAAAACAATAGCATCTGTATTACTCAGTCCTTACTAATCGTGTTACCCTGTAACATGAACTGTGTAATCTAAAATATCTCATAAAGCATGTGTTGGGTTCTTTGCAAGCAACAAAGCCTGCCGTGCGAGAGCATCAGGAGGGGTGTTTAGTTTGAGTGGAATCTGGCTGTAATGGGTCCATTGAAACCCACAGAGAACCAGTGCCATGCATTTTTAATCAGGTGGCTTCTGAGGTCGCCTGCTCCATTCTGAGGACATGAATTATGAGCAACGGTGGGATGAAAACTGAACCAATCTGACAGAAAGACAATGACATTACCTCACGACAGGAAGAGAGTGATTTTATTACATTGATCTGTGATTTTCGTTTCTACCAAGTGTGCGCCAGAACTCTTATCTCCAAGCATCTGTTGGGGGCTCGTCCGGGATCGTCGCTCCAGTGTGCTGCATGAAAAGATCAGAAAATAAATATCTCGGCTGATATTCTGTTACACTGTAACAGACGGCAGCTTCACTGGACCGCTTGATGGTAGAAGCATGAGATTGAGGACATGGCTGAGTGTTGGGTCCGGGTTTATGAGTTTCTCCTGTGAGGCTGTGCGCAGTTGTGCAGAGATCCAGTGTGATGAAGACCAGCGATGCTGCACCCAAAACAGCAGCAGCAGCAGCAGCATCACGCCCATCCGTCAACTCCCTCTGCACACTTTCCTGGACAATCTGGAATGGATGGTCCGTAAGCTGTCGGGACTGCTGATCCTGCTCTTGCTCTTTGTGGTGGGTTACTTCATTCAGCGTGTCGTATGTCCGCGTCCCCGCCGTCAGACACCCGAGGAGCCGTCACTTCTGCATGGACACACGTCCCAGGACTCCCTCACAGGGGACTTCAGCTCCCCGGTGCTGCTGCTTCCCACGTACGAGGAGGTGAATTACCTGCCCACATATGAGGAGATCATGATGGAGGTGGATGGAGACAATCTGAACTCAAACTCAGGAGCGATAGAGGAAAGACAAGCAACATTGCAAACTTCTAGAAGACCCATAAACTCTCTATAATTCACTCAATGTGTTTGACTTGATTCTGTAACAGCTGATGCATTCTCAATAATGCGTCCCATGTGTCTTTAGCAGCTGTTCACATTTCAAGACGTTTTTACATACAGGTTTGGCTCTTACAGTAAGTGTTTTGAAATAACCAGTCCTAGACAGTGCAAATTGTGTGCAAAAATGCGTTAGTAACTGTCTGAGTACACACGCATGTGGACAGTCTGCTCAAACAGTGTTGATTACAATTTTCATTTAATTGCTGGTCTTATTGTGCTTACTGTGTGCACGTAATCAGAAATGAGAAAGAGATGGACTGCTCAGATACAAATGAACGGGAGAAATGCACATTAGCTGGGACAACTTGAAAAATAGTCTTTAGTGTGACTTTAAGTTAAAAAAGCACAATTTATGAGACCACCACAGATTTTAATGTTCATTTGACATGTTATATAAACGTAATCCTGACAAACAATTTCAGTTTTATCCTTCCCACAATCTCAGCGTGAGGTTCAGACTTTCAATGTCTCCGTTAAGACTTTATAAACGTCCTTCCAAAGAAAAAAATCAGATGATGTGATTTGTGGTAAAACATATGATTTGTAATACAAGTATAAAGCTACTCCCTTAAATCTAATCCTTGATGGGGCGTGGGCAGGTCGCTGCATGAAAATGTATGAGATTGTACAAATTTGTTGGCAATATGCCAAAATTTATAATAGTTAGAAATTGTCAAGAGACTGTGCTGGCCAGCCTAATTCACCATCAACAGATATGAACACACCTTTCAGATGCATTTCTGGATATCAGAAGAGCAAACAACTAAAGTAAAAAAACATGAAATGCAGAAAAACAGTAATTTGCCTTTTTTGTATGTTGGAATCTAACTTTAAGGTCAGCAGCAAAGACATAACGTGAAAAATAAAAAAGTTTATTTATATAAAGTTCAGAGTTTGTATTTCCTTGCATATTCTGACACTTTTTGATGAATACAGAATCTGTTTTGTGCACATGAGAGTAAAGAGCTCTGATGCAAGCTCTGCCTCTGTTATAAAACCATCCAGAACACTTCAAACTTAAAACCGCTTCAAACTTCAAGCTTTTCAAGATTTTTAAAATACTTCAAACTTTCTCGATAGGCTTTTTCAAGCCAACATAAAGTTTGCCTTGATGGACATTTTTATCCAGTTTTACCATGTATTTTACAGTGAAAAATGATAAAAGAGCATTTGCAGATATTGGTTACGAACATCAAGGGTTATAATAAGCTTTTATTACATTTTACATATTTTTTTTTTCATTACATTGAATGAACTCAACCACAGGGCATTCTGAACAGTGTGAGAACTGACAATACAGCTGAGGATACTGAAGAACAACGCAACCAGGGAAGGCTCTTAACTCAGACAGTAACAGTCTCTATTTGCAGAGGCAAATGGGAACATGAGGATATCACTTGGATGGAACACCAAACGCTGGAGTTGATTTAGCAATTTAGCAGAGAACTGGAAAATACACAGGAGAACAGATAAAGGAGATCGACAGGGTGAATATACAGGTGAGCAATCCACAGGAGAAGAACTGGAGCCAGACACTCTTTGTAGCCACACTGACAGGACCAGACAATGAATGCATTTCATGCCAGGCTTAAGTGCAGTCCGTGATTGGCAGGTGAGTGAGTTCCAGGTGTATATAATCAGAATGCAGGAGAGAGTGAGCGTAGTGTGTTAGGAGAGGGAGAGCCTGGTTTAGCCGTGACAGTTCCCCCTTCAACGGACCATGCCTGAAGGGTGGTGTTGAGCGAATCGGATGACCGACCTGAAAGGTAGTAAGTGGGGTTGACTTTGGGAGTCCAGGATCTTGTGGACTGCACAGACCGGCCCATCATCCAGGAGCAGAGGCAGATGAGAATCCTCTCCTGAATCTTCCATACCATCTGCCTGTTAAATTGAGGATGATAGCCGGAGAAGGGACTCATGGACACACCTAGGACAAAGAAGGAACTTCAGACTCTGGGTGATGAACCAAACCGGCAGAAAATATGAACGGTCAGAATTTATGTATTCAGGAGGCTAAAATTCCAGAAAGTGTGATGGAATGACACTTCTGTGGTCTCTTCATCAGCACCAGATGACAGGCTTTGGAGAAGGTCAGCCACAAACAGGACACAGATGCCGGGAGGTCTGTGATGAACCCCACCCCTAGGTGAGACCAACGGCAGCGAGGGACGAGCAGAGGAAGGAGCTTACCGGCTGGAAGTTGGCAAGGCCATAGGGAGACAGTGAACAGTGTACAGGATTACCTTAATGCTGGAAAGACCTTAAGTTATTTTATTTTTTTATACTAGCACATCATGTATCTAACCATCCAAGTGTACATTCGGCGTTAAGAGCTGTTAAGATTAAAACTCTGCAGTGAGTCAGTGTCATAGACGTAGGACAGAGCAAGTGTACATATCTTTTCTAGTCTATATTTCCATCTTGTAATGCCGCTGTTTTAGGTATTTTTTTATTTTTTTTTTAAATAAATGATTTGTAATAGAGCAGAAACTGTCTGACCGTGTCTACACTGGATGCGACAGTTGTCGTGCCGCACCCCGCTGCGCTAAAAGTCTGTCTACACTTGACGTGACAAAGCGACAGTTGCAAATCATCTGAACGTAGTGTCAGTACAGTTCGTCATAAATAGAACAAGGCATCAGTTTACTGTCGGGGATTTGTCGTGTCGCGCTGCGCCGCATCCAGTGTGGACAACATCACTGGGTTCTATTGTCTTTTGTCGGATCTCGCATCTGGTGTAGACATGGTATGAGTTTTTTTAATGGGTTATGTTATAGCCCTGCTTGTTTTTAATGTTTTTATGAAATATCTGTATTGACTGCATGATCATATCATCGTATTATTTACTGCCATGCGAGCCACAAAGTAAAGCTTGGTGAGCTGTGCAATGAGTAACACTGATCTGCTCTCCAGATCACATAATTCAGTGGAGAATTAATAGAAATGATATTAAGAACATGTGAGAATAAATCTGTTCTCAGATAGCAAGAACTCAGCATCCACTCTCTCCTCTCTCGGAACACTCTTCTTCTGTGTTCGTTTACGCTGGTTTGTGGTCTTTTTGAGGTTTAGGGATCAAATTTATAACACCCTGAGTCACCACTCTCACTCTTTTGTGTAACAGCAGCTGCTCTGGTCACGTGATCTAAGCTCAAATCTGATTGGACGGCCCGTTTCATCGCAGAGCGACGGTGAAAAAATCGACACACAGGACGGAAAAAAAAAAAATCCTCGCTTTTTCGCCCCGCGAATGATCGCGCCTGGTGTGAATAGCCCCATAGGGATCTATTGTTTCGATTCAAAAGCATCATCGCGCCGAACATTCGCGCCAGTTTTCACGTTCAGTGTGAAAAGGCCTTGAGGCTCTGAGCTGACTGACTCAGGACCTTGGCGTTCTTGAACCCTGGATGGTAGGACAGATGTTAAAACAGGTGAAAAACAAGGCCCATTCTGAACCACCAGGGACAACTTCTCAGAAAAAAAAGCAGTGGAGTTTTGGTGGTTCCCCGTGCCACTGAGATAATCCTCCAACACCTGAAGTGAATGCATCAACCTCAACGATGAAGGGTAGGTTGTGAACAGAAGGCATGAGGATAAGAGCACTTGTAAAGGTTAAACATGCGTATGTTAATGCATTCCAATCATTCGTAAATATGGCACTCGTGCACACTCATTCACAATTAGCATAATCCCCGTCTATGAATTACAGCTACGCAAATTGCGTGTCCAGGAACGCAGTGGAATATTCTGGTCTACTTTCTCAGGTTTGGTTTCAGTATATTGCATAAATGTAGCAATTGCAGCTTGCTTCAGAAACCCTCCACCTTCCCCAGCTCCACCTGTATAGATCTGCTACGAGGTGATTCATGTATGCTATATGTGCAGCAGCAACATGTTGTGGATGTATTGGCAGCAAGTCTCAGTACTTGCTCTGCCGCAGCAGCAGCGTAGCAAATCTATTCCGCCAAGACCAAATACATTAACAGTTTCATGTACATTACCATGCCAATCCCTTCGAGAGTTGTCATGACAGAAATAATGTCAGGCGCTCTTCTTAAAACAACCAGCTGGTGGTGCTAGAAAACACTTTGGTGGCACAGCGTTTTTCCAGCTGTGGAATTTGGAATATCCACGGCTGCAACGTATTACTAGTATCTCATTTTTAAGAATTGTACTAAATATAAAAAACAGTAACCAGTAATATTGACTTCTCCATTGTTGTAGGCAGTCGTTGTACAAGGATGATTGGACGCTATTTGTCCCGCCCCTCCTCTATTTACGGCTGGGTAAATAGTGACATTGATGAGCACTGAGTTTCAGTTATCAACTCAGCTGCAAAATAAATAAATACATAAATAAAATAAAAAAAAGAGGACAAGGGCAAATTAACTTGCAATTATAATGGCAGTGCATCAATATTCAGTGTCATCTGTTTGCCAGAAAGAACACAGAACGTTTTACGCACCATTTACACGTGGTAGCGAGCAGGTGTACATTTCTTTCCTTTCGTACCAACTAACATTTTAAAAATACGAACATTTTCATGAATTTGAAAGTTTACATCAGAACGGTTTTATGAACGATTTACCGTTACACAAAAATTTGTTCTTCTGGCGTTTCACGAATGAGGCCCTACAGTATGTCCGTATGGGATTCAGAATCTTGATCAAAACATAGATGAGGTCCATTGCTTTCATCAACACCTCCAAAGCTTCATCGTCCTAAACCACTTCCTGGATTGACAATCACTTGTTTCTGCTTCTTTGCTGTGCTTTGATACAGATGTTCAGTACTCTTTCAGAAGATGTGTAATAGCGCCTCCTACCATATCATAGCAAAAAAACTGAAAGCTGGAAAATTCTGTCAATGGCGGGTAAAGGGTTACACAAAGGGTGCACAAGAACGCATGTAGCGACATTGCATTGCAATGCTATTAGTTCTAAATGTGTCCCAGACCACAGTGAAGCTTTGCCTTCTTGCCTGCCTTCCCTCTCCTCTAACACATGATCATTGTGGAACTGCATCAAAACAAAGGATTCAAATTTCTTTCTTTTTTTTAAAGATTTATTTTTGGCATTTTTGCCTTTTATTATGATAGGACAGTGTAGAGCAGACAGGAAGTGAAGTGGGAGAGAGAGAGGGGGCAGGAGCTGGGATTAGAACTTGGGACGCCCGTAGCGCAACAGCGCTGTATGGATTCATATTTCACTGCACTGTACTAAAACACTGATTATGATCAGAATGGTTGCCAGTGGCTGAACTGCAAATGAGTCTAGGTATTTTATCTCTGGTAGAAGTGTTTTGTTCCAGTGTGTCGGATCACTAAAAATTCATGTTATTCACTCACCAATGGAAGTTTAATTTCAAATATGCATTTATTGAATAAACATAAATCAAGCTTTTACAATAAAAATTAATTCTTGTTACAAAATCTTCTTGAAATTATATGAATAACAGCTGAACTAGACGTGATGCCTGATAATAGACTGATGTGCATTTTTTAAGAGGCTAAGATATGAATTCTCATGCCTGCCATAACTTCTTAACTTTGAGAGTTAGCCACAGTGTGCAGTCAGTGTTGAGGAGTCGGAGATCAGTGCTCGTTCAGTGGGATCCAGGCCTCAGTTTACCTGAATTACATTACAGGTGTGTGTTTTTATCGGCGAATGGACACACTGCTTCTGACGGATGCGTTGGCTGCTTTTTCCCGCTCCATAGCAAACTCCATTTCAATTTTAGCCTGGATTTTCTCCCAGTCCACTTCCACCTGAACATAAGCAGGAGAGACAGAAACATTAATAAATCATAAAATAAATCACACAACAATAAAATCCCTATACAGAGGAGATTGGTTTACTGTGAGGACAGACACACTCTGTGGCTTCAATCCCATCAAACACAGACATTTGAACAGTGCTACAGATCAATGCACAGACACAGAGGTGAACATGTCTTACTCCCTCAGAGTACTGCAGGAATCTCTTGTTGGTTTCCTGTTTTCCAAAGTCCTGCAGGAACTTCTGTCTGTGAGCGAGCACCGTGTCCACGTGAGTTTTGTACTTCACCGCCTCTCTCTCTCTCTCACACACACACACACACACACGCGCACACACATGCACTCACAAACACGCGCGTGGAGTGGACAGTGTCAGCGACGGCTCGCACCTGTCCCAGTTGTAGAGGCTGATGTGTATCTGGATGGCGTGGTAATTGAGGTTGGCCTGCAGTAGAGTGGCCTCAGCCTCCTGCACGTGTCCGCTGAAGAGCAGCATGTGAGCGAGACACGAGTCTCTCGACGGAAGGTCCTTTATGAAGTTGATGTACTGCACCTTGTCAATCTACCAGAGACGAAGACAAGCGTTAAAGAGACGAAGAGGAGACTGTGATGTGAGATATTCTCTCAGCAGATTCACCTCTCCTATAGCTGCATACGCCACTTCTGCTGTGCTCAGCTCCCTATTGGCCATCGCCAGACCGGCCAGACACGACCAGAGCGTCTGATCCTGTAAGAGAGATCACTCTTCAGTGACATTTCTATAAAGTGCTGATGAACAGTCATTGCACTGCATGAAGCTATCAATCTTTGGATTACAGCTTAATTGACCATATGCACGATTACTTCATTTCCGGTCAGCTGGAGCGCCCTTTGCTCGGTTTCTAACATAATCTATAAAGGTGCAAAATGCATTTACTTGCACATATTTGAGAATCGAGATATTTCATGATATATTTTGGGAATATTAAAAAATAAAACCCCTGCTGAATAAAACATGGGTTATGCCCCTAAAAGCACAAGTTGCCCCTGTCTGGCCCCCCCAGTTACTGTGGTCAAGAACCGCCCCTGACTGGATGGTGAAATTGTGATGGGTTTGTTGAAACGGATTTGATCTTATTTTGGATCAAATAAATGCAGTCTTGATGAGCAGAAGAGAATTCTTTAAAAAACATTAAAAATCTTACTGTTCATAAACTTTTGACTGGTCGTGCATGTCTTCAGTGTATTTATTTGACTACAGGATCTGGAATGTTCTTAGTTCATCTGAGTTTTCTCAGTATGTGCGATGCACTGACCTTGGCGAAGCGGCAGATGCGGAGCGTGTCCTCCCAGCGGCCGCTGCCGGTGTACTCGTGCAGTAAGCTGGGGTACGGTGACACGGCGGTGCACACTAGAGAGCCGTCCACTCGTCTGACCGTCACCTGAGTGCCCTCATAGCTCACCATCTGAGGAGGACGACTGAACTCACTGCAGGACACAGGATCCAGCAGACGTCACCCGCAGGACATGTGCAGCGCTGCTCTCATGTCACTCTTATAGGCAGAGCCCATCCTAGCATCTTGGGGCCCTAAGCAGACTTTCAAAAGGGGCCCCACTACCTATGGTTCCACCTAACCTCCAATACGCATGTCCTACACTGACACTTTTAGAAAACTGTCTTACATGTGACCCTGCAGCACAAAAGCAGTCTTAAGTCGCTGGGGTATACTGACTGACTGCGTGATGGAGTCTATTAATGCAGCCTAACATATGAGGGCAAAAAAATCACCCTCTTATATTTATAATATAAGATATAGTTTAGTAATATCACACCAGCAAGAGTGCTGTTTCTCCCCAATATCTGCACCACCGCAAATGTGACATTGATTTTTTACAGTTCAGTAAACAATAAGAGTTAAGGCCCGTTCACACCAAGCACGATAACTATAAAGATAACGATAAAGATATAGTTCTAAAAATCGTTCTCAATATTAAAGAATAGCAGACTCCACACCACAGCTATAACGATAAAGGCACAGAGAAACGATATCATTGGAATCACTTCCAGAAAGATATTTTTCGAGTTGATGAACGATAAAAACATTGGCACCCAATAAGAATCCATCCTGCTGTCATGAGCTGGAGAATTTAAGTGGCAATAAACAGACGATATCGTTCGCTGATGTGGACGCTAATATAGTTATCTTTATAGTTATCGTTCTTGATGTGAATGGGGCTTAACACTTTAGTATAGGGACTAAAGTGTTAACTAGTTGCTTATTAGCATGCCTATTATTGACTTATTGCCTGTTTATTACTTATAAAGCACATATTCTGCATGACTATATTCTCCATCCCTAATCCTACCCAATACCTAAACTTAAAGGAGACATATTATGCCTCTTTTTACAAGATGTAATATAAGTCTCTGGTGTCCCAGGAATGTGTCTGTGAAGTTTCAGCTCAAAATACCCACAGATAATTTTATTATATCATTTTGAAAATGCCTATTTTGAGTGCAAGCAGAAACACGCTGTTTTCGTGCCTGTCACTTTAAATGCAAATGAGCTGCTGCTCCCCGCCCCCTTTTCCAGAATAGAGCTACGCCTTTACAGCTCGGACCTGCTAAAAACATCTGTTTTGGTTCTGATTATCATGTTTATCGCGCTGAAATCATGCGTTTTAAACCATACGAGTTGAAATGTCTGATATTTGGTTTTCTGAGCGCACACATCCGAAGCACACGCACAGAAAGCGGCTGTCACACGGTATGTGAGTAACGTTACTAAACTAAGTTCTCTTTCATGTCTTATTGTGCTTAAACTGCCAAAGACACACAAGTTTACGTTAAAAACACACACGAGTTACAAAAGCAGTGGGTTATGTCTGTGAAGGTAAACAGCCTGGAAATAAATCTCATGTTTATTTTAGATCTGTGTGGCAGCAGCAATATACAGTAAATAAATCAATAAATGCACTGCTCTGTTGTCTCCTCTGAGGCTGGGACTCTAAACAGTGTTCTGTGCTCGTCTGTGCAGCCAAACACAGAACAGTTAGCATGCTTTGCTCCATCTTTCGCCCTGGAATTAGAACTGCTACACCGTTGTTGCTTGCAAAAACACAATGATGGAGCCGTGGGTGGAACGTTTTCTGGGACGGTAGATGCACCGGCGACCTGATTATAGTACTTAAACATGCAACTATTAATAAGCAGCAAATTAGAAGTTTATTGAGGCAAAAGTCGTAGTTAATGGTTTGTTAATAGCGAGAATTGGACCATAAAATAAAGTGTGACCACAATAAGTTAACATTTTGTTATATTTTAGAAACAATATTGTCTGTTTTTGTTCAGTTTCACAAATGAAAATAGTTCTGATCAAAGCCACAGCAGAACTGTTGAGCGTCTCTGATCAACACACAGCGGTGATTCGTTACTGAATGAATCCACCGGTTGAATGAATCAAGTGAGTCAGTGATTCAGTGACTCATTCTTAAAGACAGTGGCTGCGTCCGAAATCACATACTCACTCGTGTAGGTACTTTTTAGAATAAGTAATTACTTTACAACCACAAAAAGAGTATAGAGTATGAATATAATCTGGGATAGTAAAGTATGCACAGAATCATGCTGGAAGTAGTATACTTTTTGCCTACTCTTATATGACTACTGTGAAATCTGACATATTTCTTTTGTCACATACTGTTTTTTGCCTACTATATAGTAAGGAAGTATGTGATTTCTGATGCAGACACTCACTTGCTTCATGTCTGAATGAATTAGCTGTTAGAACAAATTGGTTGAATGAATGATTCAATGACTCACTCATTTAAGACAATGCCTTACTGCCACCTACTAGACCTTTTAGTTTCATATTCAGAGAATCATTTCATTTTTTTAAAATAATTTCATATTTGAAATTATAATAAATAGATATTAAACCTCAATTAAAACATATTGTCATAATTTATGCAATGCTGATTTTAAATATTTAATTTCAAAAGGTACTTTTTTTTGTACTGTTGTACTTTAAATGATCTTTTAAGGGTAATTTGATGTGTCTAAATTGATGTGTGGTTAATTTGCGATTAATTAATTGCCACATGTAATTAATCAGTTGACAGCCTTACTTGTAACATATAAAGCTACTGAAACTTCCCTAATTAACATTACAACAAAGTTAAACCTTTGCGTTACTTCTGGAGAAAATGTAGTTGACAGTTCAGCTCTGATCCAAACACCTGTGAGCTGCCATGCTGTCTGCTGTCTACATAGGCAGCTTCCTTACAAAGCCAAGGTATAGTTTGGTTTAAACATGTACACTAGGGTATGCATACATCAGCACAGTGTGCACATACTGTGCACCAGCAGCCAGATTATTCTAACTGCATGTACTCTGCATGCTTTTTTTACACGAATCAGTCAGTCCACAAGGTTAGGGGTAGGCCTGGGCCGCTGATTCAGAGACAGAACAACTACAAACACCCGGAGACACAACAACACTGGACAACGTGTGTGTGTTTACCTTGTGGTTCAAAGGTTTGCCGTCACCAATGGCTTTTCCCGTCTGAGCCTCGAACAGAAAGACGACTGGAGGACAGAAGGAAGACACAGTGACTGATCACATTACAACACAGCACCAGAACACACCTGCCCCTCGTCAGTGGAAATTAATATTAGCTGGTTCAGTCCCAACACCTACAGTACACCAGGATGATGAAAATGAAACAAGGCTGGACATTTCAGCAAGACAATGATCCCAAACACAGCCAAGGAAACTCTCGATTGGTTTCAGAGAAAGAAAGGAAAGCTGCTAGACCGGCCAGCCAATCACCTGACTGGAATCCAATAGAAAATAAGAACTAAAGATGTTCATAGAAGAGGCCCACAGAACTTTCAAGATTTGAGACAATGATCCCAAACACAGCCAAGGAAACTCTCAATTGGTTTTAGAGAGAGAAAATAAAGCTGCTAGAATGACCCAGCCAATCACCTGACTTGGATCCAATAGAAAATAAGAACTAAAGATCAGAGTTCATAGAAGAGGCCCACAGAACCTTCAAGATTTGAAGACTGTTTGTGTTGAAGAATGGGCCAAAATCACACCTGAGCAATGCATACGACTAGTTTCTCCATACAGGAGGCGTCTTGAAGCTGTCATTACCAACAAAGGCTTTTGTACAAAGTATTAAATACATTTCAGTAGTTCAATACTTTTCCCCTTTTCCATTTTATTACACATAACTTAATTTCTGAACTTGTTTGTTTTATTTGTATGTATTGATTACTTTGGTTGTTACGGACATCTGGTGAAAATTCCATGTCAACAGCACCTTTTGTCAGGGTTCTGTCACTTCGGTCTAGTGTAATTCATGGTTTTGTGACAGAGCCCTGACACTCCCGTCATGTCGTTGTTTTCATGCGAGTGCGCGGCTTCGAGAGTGCTCGAGCCGTGTGCTCTCGTCTGCATGTCCTGTGTCATGTTGGAGCGTGGTGTTCAGATCCCGGCACTCATGTCTTGTTGAGTTTCGGGTCCGGACACTCGCGCTCCATGTTCTGTCTGGTTGTGTGAGCGTGCGGTCTCGAGTTCGCTCGGCCGTGCACTCTTCTGTTCACGTGTGTTGTGTTTTGTGTAGCACGCGGTTTGTGTTCAGCTACGTGCTTTTCTTGTTGTCTTGTGTTGTTGTTGCACGCAGCTTGTGTTATTGGCTGCGTGCTTTCATGTCCTGTTTTGTCTTGTGCTGTGTAGCACGCAGCTTGGTTTTCGCTGGCTGCGTGCTGTCTTGTCTTGTGTGAACACCGGCTTATGAGTATTCTCATTAGCTGCGTGTTCGTGTCTTGTTTTGTTCAAGCACATAGCTTGTGATTGTTTTGCTGGCCATGTGAT